GACCCTGCTCTGCCACTGGCTCTCTGGTGGCCTTGGGCATCACCCAGGTGTGGATGCATGGGCTGACCCATAAGCCTCAATGGGGCTGGAGGAGAGATGGCTCCAGTGGCACTTACAGCCCTAGGAAAGGTCCCACTGCCCAGCAAGCACCACAGGTCACCGGCTTGATCTGAGCACAGCCAGCACAGTCTGGCTGTTGTCATGGTCTGGGTGGTGACCAGGGAGCACCTCCCTCTCTTAAGGCCCCCATGCATCCTCACGGATGCCCTCCCATGCAATTTGCACCTACTCTCACGGCAGATCCAGCTGAAGCCCCCAGGAGGCTCAAATGCCGGATTGGGGGTAGGCATGACACCTCCAACACGCATCAGCTGTGAAGAAGAAGGCAGCCAGCTGCTCCAGGGCTGCCACGTCCCCTCTCAGGTGCTCTGCTGCCTCAGAGAGGAATCTGGCCAGGCAGCACCTGCCACCACTGCCACCCTTTGTCACCCCACGCTTCTATGTGTGGACATTGCCCTTCCCACAGGCCACGTTTTGAAATGCATGGACACCGGGGCAGGTGGCTGCCTGCAGGACTGCTCAGCTTAAATGGCACATGTCTGTATAGAGAGAGGTTTCTGTCCTAATTTACAGGCTTTTAAAAAATATTCAGGCTCTAGATGTTACACAGGCTTTGCAACACGTGACAGGGTCCTTTGCTGACTCTTAGCCAGAGCAAGGATTGAGCTGTGGGTAATGTGGGCTCTGATTTACGCTCCAACAAGAAGGCGTTGCTGAGATGCTGGGGGAAGAAGCAGCAATGGGTCCCTCTGCTCCTTTTCTCTGTTTCATTGCCGCAGGGAAACAACTGCTCTCTCTTAAAAAAAAAAAAAAAATCTCTTGGAGCAGCTTTGCTCGATGCCTTCGCTGGCCTCTCCGGGGGCTGCTGCCTGTCCCGTGCCAGGCACAGCTGCTCCCACTGCCTCTGCCTTCCCCTGCCTCTGCATCACACGCCTCTCCCTGCCTTTCATCCCTCTCCCTCCCTTTCTTTTCCCTTCCCTTTGTTCATGCTCTCCAGTGGCAGAGCCCAGGCTGCTGCAGGAGGGGGATATGGGAACCTCTGGCTCCTCAGCGCTGGTGGTGGCTTTCTGTGTTGGCTCCCAGTTCACTGGTCCCCATTGCCCCTTGAGGTGGGGCAAAACAAAGGAGAAACCTTTCCCCTGGCCTCTCCTCCTCACTCGGACGTCTCTTTCCCATGCCTCCTCCCTTCTGCTTGGCGGGGAGCCCTCTTGCTTCGGATGGGTTTGGGGCAATAGGAACAGCCTGGCTGGACAAGGTATCATTTCTCTTTGCAGAAGCAGCTTGAGAGCTTTGGTGGTTGAACAGGAGACAAAATAAAGAAGAAAAGCACCCAACAGGTCTCAGGTGGTGAAATTCTCCTTCTGCCCTTGGAGGGGTCTGTAAAGCAGCTGCCTCAGGGGGATGAAGGATGCCGTGGACAGAGCTCACCAGGCCCTGTTCAGAGGCACCCCAGGAGGTCCAGGCATGGGGCGGTGGTTTTGGGGACAGTGGGACTTCTTCCATTTTCTTGCCTGACTGCCAGGACTGCACCCTATCTTGGAGGGAGGGCAAGGAGGCTGGAGGGTCCTCAGCAGCATGGCTCCGTCACCCAAGGAGCCACCTGGAGCTCTCTGAGACCCACAGCAAGGCCCCACCGACTACGGTACGGGGTGCTGCGTGTGCAGGCACCTCCCTTGGAGATACCTTGGAGATGGAGGCACCTAGATCTTTTCTAACCCTCCTTTTCTCCAACTGCAGAGAGTTTGCATCTGGGAAGTGTTTAATTTAGAAAGGCCAGCACTGCTGTATCACATTTCCTGTGTTGGTCTCTGTTGGTTTATGACCAGTGAAATCCTGGTGTGAAAACAGAATCAAGCTTTGATTTCATCTGCCCCTGCTGTTTTATGCCACTAACAACTTTGCATTTCTATAGCGGCTTTTATTCTAGGAGCTAAACGGGCTTCACAGACAAGCAATTAATTAATTGAGCCTCCCCAACCAGCCTATGCCCTCAACGCCACAAGGAAGCATTTTGTAGAGGAGGAAACAGAGGCGGAGAGGAGCAAAATGACTCGCTCCAGGTAAAGAGGTGAACTCGCTGCTGACGTGCCGCTGCCTCCACAGCGAGGCGTTATGCTCTGCTGGTTGTGCTCGTGGCTGCCGTGGAGATGGTCCTGATGTCATTTCCAAACTGGTGTGGGAACTGGTCTCAGTGGGGGGAGTGACGGAGGAAGGTCTTTCAGTATCTATCAGTGACTGCCATCACTGGAGCATCTGAGCCCAAATTAACTCATGACCTGCCACCACCTTTGACCATCTCAGCCTCTTGCTGAGGAATCCCCTGGGACCATGAAACAGTGCCAGGAGGCCTCGCTGCCGCCTCCCCTATCCATCCTTGCTGACCAACTCCTGTTTCTCCAGGAGGCACTCAGGGTTTGCAAAGGAAGGTGGTTTGGGCTGAAGGGTTTGCTTTGGTCCAGGTGCTACAGCTGAGATTTGGGGAGGGACCCGCCGTGATGTCATGAAACAGGAAAGGGGTGATCCTCAGCTCCCCTTTCCAGGTCCTGCTCACTGACTGGTGAGCAAGACGCAGCCCCGGGAAGCTGTGTGCTGCAGGCAGGATCTGGGGCACCTGGAGGAGGTGGAGGAATGTGCCTTTGCTCATGCAGAGTGAATATGTTCCTGGGGAAATTGCCTGCCTTTTGTTATGAAACCCTGCTAATGGTTTGTTGTCTACACAAATAACCATGGGGAATGAACTCGTGCAATTCCCAGCCTGCTCTGTGTCTTCCTGGCTCAGCTTCTTTCTGAACAAACATAACCTTTTGCAAGAATACCTGTCAAAATCACTTTTAAATATTGAAATAACAGGATGGGATATGGTTTGCTCCTGGGCCCTAGTGCTCATCCGTCAGGACTCAGGATGTCCATCCAAAGAGACTTGTGAGCAGGATGCAAGGGAAGAACTGGCAAGCAGCAGGGCCCCAAAGGGCTGCATTTGGGGATCTTATCACCTCGCTGTTCTGGCCCGCTGGGCTCCCACACGCTCACCGGGGGGAGCAGAGCAGCTCCCTGACCCTCATGTGGCCCTTGCTTCGTGTCAGTCATGGGGTGAGACGTGGGGGCTTGCGACTCAGCTGGAGCTAATCAGGGCAAAACTGTGTCCTTCAGCCCCCCAGCATGGCCTGGGATTGCCTTCATGGCCTCAACACCTCCCTCCTCCTCCTCACCCCATGAGTAGGGCATCATCTGTGAGTGTTTTAGAGATGGGGCAAAAAGCTGTTGAGGCTTGGACAGGCATTGGAGAGCAATGGTTGAGGGGCACATGCCGGCTGCTCGGGTGGACACGAGACATGAACACAGGGCCATCCCCTTCCCTCCCAGTCTCAGAGTCCCAAGGGCTGTTCAGGGGCTCCCCAGGGTGTCCATCTCCAAAGCCACTCATGTGAAATGGGAGTCAAACTGGCCCGTGGCAGCGCTAGGGCTGAAGGCAGGAGGTGCTGCACTCCCTGCCTGAGGCTGTGGCTGTGTTTGGGGTTATCCATGGGGGAGCTGCGAGACGTGCGGTGGTGGGAGTCCCAGGAGTGAGGGGCAGGATCCCTGGGCCACCGCCTGTGCCTACTGTAATAGCTCTCAGTATGGGCAAGCTGTAAATGCTTAGTGTCTTCTCCCTCAGCAAAAAATCACCCCTCAATGATTCCCCTCTCTGGAGAGCGGCAAAAGGCTTTCTGCTCTAACTCATCACTGGCTTCCCATCTTGAAAGGTAAGGGGATAACCCACTCCTCAGCAGCTGGCCCCAAGGGCCACCACTCTCCAGATATGTCTGTTTAGGGGGAGAGACCAATACCTTTTAATCTGCAGGAGAAATCCCATTGCATGGTGGCACCTGCTCAACCAAGAGCCCTTCACTTCTCATCCCCTGCCCTGTTCCTGGTGGTGGTGGTCTCCCATCTGGAATAAGGTGGGAGATTCTGCTTTTCAGGGTATGTGCCTTTTTTCTCAATGTACTTTGAAGTTGATGAGAACTTGGACACAGACTATTGTTGGGAGAAATCAAAACCAAATACTTAGAAACCCAAACACTCCCCCTGCCTCCAAAAAATATCCCATCAACCAACCACCCACTTACCAACCAACCAACAAAAAAGTTCTTCAAACAAAACTCCATCTCTTTCTCTAAAATCCATGATTAAAACCTGGTACAAACAGGTGAATATAGAGATATATATATATTTTTAGTAGATGTAGTATTGTTTTTTTTTTTCTCCTCTCTCTCTCATTATACAGCAAACATTGCAAATATAGAAATTTTCTCTGTACAATTAACGACTTCGGTTTACAATGCAATGCGTGGTAAAACTTCTCAGTGAGTGAAAATGTGAACGGGCCTTCAACCGGGTAAAAGTCTAAACTGGAAGACTCCGTTTGCAAAAACAGCCCAAAGGATGGATCTCCTTCTGGTCTCTTTTTGGTTTTTGTTGCTGTTTTTGTTGCTGTTGATTTTGGAAGGGAAGGAAGGAAGGAAGAACACAAACTGTTCACAAAGAATCCACAAAATTACGGAATAGGGACTCATGCAATGCAATATTGGGAAACGCCAGACCTCAGCTCTCTGCCCGCTCTTTCACTTTCTTTTTATATTCAATTTTTTCTTTTTTCTTATTTTTTTAAAAAAATCGAAATGAAACAAAACTTTTTTTTTTCACTCCACAGTTTGTTTGTTTTGTAAAGTTTGTGTTCAAATTTGGTGCGTGTCTCACCAATGTGAGGACATTTTAATATCTCACTTTATATATTATATAGAATATTTATAGATTTTTCATATTTTGTTCTCTCTTTTATTTTTATTGATTCTTTTTTTTTTAATTTTATTTTCTTTCAAAGACAGTCTGAATAAAAATAGCTGCTGCAGATTTCTTTTGGTCCAGTTAGTGTGTTAAGTCACGAGTTGTGTGAGGACTCAGGACTTTTGCTGGGCAGAGACGCCCTTCCAGTAGTCTAAGATGTCGTGAAGATCCTCATCTTTGGCAAACTGGACCTTTTTGCGTAGGGCATGGCCGGCTGCCATATACTCCTCCTCGTCTTTGTGCCGCTTGCGATTGAGTTTGAAGCGCTCCCAGATGCTGTGCGATGGTTTGCAGGTGTACTCTGGGCTGGAGGTGTAGCTCAGGTTGTGATATTGAGGCGAGAGCTGGGAATAGGCCAGGTCTCTGGGGCGAGGACGGGTCAGAGGCTCCAGAATGGAGGGCTTTCGCCCCGCCATGCTGTCGTGCTGCTCCCCTTGGTGCGAGCCAGGGTACGAGTGCCGGTGTTCGCTGTACTGACGGATCTTCTCCGCCTCAGCCCGCAGGATGGCCGCAGCCGGTGTCACAGTGAGGATGGTGTCGGTGGTGGGGGACGTCTTCTCGATGTATTTGGCTTCTGATTTGTGGCCCGATCCCTCGGAGCGGTAGGACCTGGGGCTCCGTATGGAGCCACTGGAAGAGGTGCTGGAGCGTTTGGGGGCCGCCTCCATGCTGTGGTGTCGCTGGAGAGGGTGGTTGTAGCTTTCCTTGTAGACAGGGGAGAGGAATCCGTGCTTGCTGGGGATCTGCTCCGATAAGAGCACCAGCTGAGGCTCCACCGTGGAGACTGCCCCCGATTTCACTCCTTGGAAGGAGGTGGACTCAGATTTCAAGGCATCGATGCAGTTGTTGATGATCTGGTTCACCTTGTCCACCTCCTTCGCAATGGTGGAGATCTCAGCCACAGAGCTCTGGGTGTCTGGTGGCAGGGACAGCTCGCAGTCTCGCCTCTCGGGCTGCTCACCCGTCCTCACCTCCATGTAGTTGCCCTTGGTGGCCTTGGGGGTTTCACTGCTGTCAATCAGCTTGTACTGCTCAACCTCGCCAGCAGAAGGCAGGTAGGGGATGCGGGTCACTGTCTCCCCGCCCAGCATCTGTCCCTGGGACAGCTGGGTGATGCTGGTGGTCTCCATTTCTGGCCCATATTTCAGCTCGATGATGGTCTTCTTCATGCTGCCGGCAGCCTTTTTGTGCTTCTCCTCCTGCTGGCGCCTCTTCCGGAGGCAGTAATACACAACACCCAGGACAATCACCATTCCAAAGAGACAGCCCAAGATTGTCATGATATAATGAGTGGCAGTGGAAGGGGTGGGCACTGGCTCCTTGCGGTTGGGTCTAGTGGGTGTGATGGTGACACAGGTGTGGTTGTACTTGGAGTATTGGTGGACAGAGACTACACAGTAGGTGTAATCTCTTTGTGCTACTAGGTTGCTCACGGTGATGTTCTCCTCCTTCTTCCTGAGCTTGGTGATCATGGAGGAGAAGCCGTTTTCAAACTGGGAGAGGATGTACATCTTGCTGAAGGGGTAGGGGATCTGCACGGTGAGGACAGCCGAGTTGTGGTTGAGGTGCTTCACCTGGATGTTGGGGCGCACCTCCGTCTCGCCAATGGGGGTGAAGAGGGAGAACTGCGGGGTCGTGCCATCACCGGAGGAGCACTCCTCCTCGGAGCAGGGGCTTTCAGAGGGCGCCGTGGTCATCTGGTACCTGGGAGGGATAAAACGAGGGATCACAGTGTAGGAGCCACCGGTGCAAAGGGAAGAGAGCATGCTCAGAGCATTGCGGTAGCCAGTCCGGCCTTGGCCTAACAAGTAGTAGCCCATGTAGTCAGGTGGGGAGTCGCACTGCATCCGGTCATACGTGCGTGTCATGTTGGTGAAAGCCTCCAGCCATTGCAGGAAACCGAGGAGCTCACAGGAGCAGTAGAAGGGGTTACTGTAGAGTTCACAGACAGAGAGCTTGTTTAGGCCCCGAAAAGTGTTGCTGTCGAGTCTCTGGATCCTGTTCATGGACAGGTCAATGTTCACTATGTTGGGGCACTCCCAGAAGGCATTGGGGGTGACGGACTCGATGAGGTTGGCCTGGAGATAGAGGTACTCCAGCTTCCCCAGGCCCCGGAGGATGCCCTCGGTGAGGTTCCTCAGTCGGTTGTAACCCAGCTGCAGCACCTGGAGGTTGAACTGTCCTGAAAAGGCACCATCCTCGATGTAGGAGATCTCGTTCTTCGTCAGGTTGAGGTATGTCAGGTTGCCAAAGCGGCTGAGTGAGGCGTACTGCACGCTCTTGATCTTGTTGTCGTTCAGCCGCAAGTCCACAATGGTGCTGTTGATTTGCTGGGGGATGGACTCGTAGGGGGGCTGGTTTTGGCTGCAGATGGCCAACCAGACGAAGCCCTTGTCCCCCTCAATGAGCCAGCAGTCTGCCCGCACCCAGCCGGTGTGCAGGAGAGAGACGGCAGCCACGCACACGCAGAGGGCTGACGTCGCGGCCCACCGGCGACCTGCCATCTGGAAGGGCGGCGTGGAGAAGGGGTTCCTGGTCTGCCAGAAGTGGGGAGCGGGACGGGGCCAGGAAGATGTGGGCTAGTGCTTCTTCAGCAGCTTCGCTCGCCTCTCCCTTCTCCTCATGGCTTGGAGATGGGGGGGAAGCATCCGTGGAGAAAGTGGACCTCAGTGCCCACAGTACTCGGCAGCCACCGGCCAGGGGCTACTACCAAGGCCTGGGTGGCTGAGGCTGGTCCCGCATCACCAGGTCTCTGGCATCTCGGGGAGGGAGTCATGAAGTTAGGTGCCCGTGCAGAGTCGTCCCTCTGGCTTAGAGACAAGCCTTCCTCTCACTTTTTATAGTACATCTCGTTTTCTTTTTGCTGCCCATCGCGACACTGGTCCCCATCTCCATGTGCCTCCGTGGGTCTGGCTGTCCCCGCTCGGTCCCTCGGCTCACCTGCTCAAAACAAAACACAAGCACAAACTAAACACAAAGGAAAGACAGTGTTTAGAGGTGTTGGAAAGGCATCCAGCTACCCTCTTAATGTTAGGCACTTGCCTTCTAACTCTGGCTACCACCTTTCAAGGAGCCTTTCATTTATTTGGGCACTGCCGCCAGCGGCATTTGGCAGCACAAGAGAAGGTGGTCACTGACCATGGAGATCACCCTCCTTTGAGTGCGTTGTCCAGCATCATGTTATAGGCAGTGGAGAGACCAACGCACATCCAGGGCACTATTTGTCTGACCTATTTAGGTGTCTACCTTAGGAGGAGAGGAGTGATGCCCCAGAAGTGTCTGTTCCTCTCCACTGAGAGCAGATGAAGTCTAGACAACTCGCTCTGATGTAGATTTGATGCTGCAGCATTTTGCTGAGGGGAATCCTAACTGTCTCACGTGCTGGTGCACGCAGCAGCAATGCCCACAGAGGGGGATGCTGACTGAGGACACTGTCTCTCTCTGACTGCGTTGCTGCTTAGCATCTAGGATAAAGCCCAGCATCAAGTGCCTATCCTGTTTCTGGGAACCTGAGCAGTAGTTTCAGGGCACTCTGACTACAAAACACGCTAGCGTGATTGTCCATCATCCGATGTCCTTGTCTGTGGTTGAGGCTTGCCGCCTGTCTCCAAGATCTCTCTCTCCTTCCCGGGTGAAATGATGCAGAGGTGGGGAGGACCCTCAACCATTCAGTGGCATAACAAGAGTATTTGCAGAAGATGGGACAAGACCTTCCCTCCTCAGCCAGAAACAGCCATTTGAAGACCTTCAGAAGGTCTTCACTAGACACAAACCAATGGGGAAAGAAACCTATGGGGCTGCCAGCAGCCTCACTTCCCACAGAAAAACTCATTCTTGGCTCACATTTTCCATTATTTTTTCCTGCATTTTTGACTAAACATAAATATCCATGAACAGCACTTCTACTTCCTTTTGTAACTTCTTGGGAAACAGGAAGGCAAAAGTGGAGAGGAGGCAACTGCATGAGCATCAGCATCTCCTGGGTCATGCTTTTCCGCAAGATGTTGAAAATATCATTCATGGACAACTCTACTGCCAAACAGCTCTCTGGGCTGGTAGGATAGATGCAGTGAGGTGTTGTGGCAGAGATGGAGTTGCCCACAGATAGGGAGAAAACATCATGGCCTATCCAGAAAAATCCTTCTTGGGACTTTTGTTGGGAATGGGAGCTCTGGTTGTCTCCCTTGTCCCAGGGCAGACCGTAGGAAGCAGGGAAGACACCACCAGCACTCCTGGAAAACACAGCTGGTAGGAACTGGAGGTTTCTTGGGCATCCATGAAGGAGACAGGAGTACATCCTACATCTAAATTGTCTTTCATTGGATCTGCAAAATAGTATAAATCCAGAAATTGGTTTCCAAACCATTTCCCAGTGCCCAGGCAGTGAAGGGACTGTGCTGGGAGCTGCATGCCTGAAAATCACGTGAGGCTGATTGTCAAGGGGCATTTAGAGGCAGATGCCAAACCCTCGTCCTTGTCCTGAAGAAATCAAGCTCTTTTCCACCCGTGATACCAGACAATGAAGGAGACCATGTTTCACTGCAGAGATCCCTGTTAACCATTCGCAGTTTATACCTCGGTAAACAGGCCAGTAATAATAAGCAGTAAAACAGTTTATTTGTTCTTTCTGGATTGTGAACAATGAGTCTATTCCCTGGTGGCACAGTTGGTTTTCCATTACATGAATAACAAGATCTGCTCTTGCGTCAGCTCTCTGCATATGAGACACTCCAGCCATCTTGTCCTCCAGCAGATGCCCCACCAGCTGCTAGGGGAGGTGAGGCTGCAGGGGAAACCAGCAGCCAGACACCCAATGCCCCCACCAAGGGCAGAGTGTGCGGTTCACCCATCTTGCCGACTGTACTGTCTGCAGTGGGTGTGCAGGCACGTGTGGGTGAGAAGTACTGGCCCTAAGATGATGCTTCTGTGGGGCCCTGCCTGGGTACTTGCAGGTCTCTGCCTCCCCAGTGCCTGGTGCTGTCCTATCCCAGCTACATTTGGAAGAAAGCTCAACACCACCAGATTTTCAAACGTTTACTAGAAATGGAGGTCTGGGTGGAGGAGACGCTGAGGGCAAGGCAGCTGAATCTCAGGTCTCCTCCTTCCTGGGGTTAGAAACCTGGACTTTAGCAGGCTTTTAGATTGCTATTCCAGCTGAAGGCCTTACATCACCACAGTGATACTGATATTGCGGGTAACCCCATTTTGGGGAATAGTACCTGCGGCACGGGCAGGAGCACATTTGCAAGGTTGTCCCTTCCCTGGGATGCTTTGCCATGACGTGGCAGCCCATTTTGGCATAGCTGAGTCGTCGAAGCCAGCAAGGAGAGGGCCTGTGCTCCCTGGGGTACTGCAGGTGAGTGCCCTGCCTTATCGTCCCCAGCTGACGGGGAAGTACGGGCTGCAGTGCCAAGCTGAGAGCCATCTGCTGCTACGTCCCTCCCAGCACCGGGCAACTCAGTTAACCTCTCTGCACTCCAGTCTCCTCTCTGGTACTGTGAGATGATGACAGCACTTCATGGGGCTGTGGGAGACTGAAGGAAAGTGCTCCGAGTTCCTCTTGAGATGAAAATCCCAGCAGATATGTTGTGCTGCAGGTAGAGAATTTCACTCCCTCTAGTTGCAAGCTTGGCTCTAGATGTGCCGCTCTTCTCTGCCACAGGGACCAGCCTGGTCTCCAGCTCCTCAGCTTGCCTCCCAACAGGGGTGCACGTTGTCCCTAAGGGTGTGGGAGAAGGGCAGTGGTGGGTTGTCCTGGCCTGCACAGCCATCAGCAATGGGTTGCCCAGTTGTCCCATTGGGATGGTATGGAGGGTGCTTTCCTTGCCTGCTGCCCCACAGTGCTTGTCCTTGGTATAAGGATCTCCCTGCCCTCCTCCACGGGCTTGTACATTACAGGGACCTCCTGCAGGCAGGGGAAGCCCTGCCAAATTGAGACAGCACAGGCAGCAGGGAGTGATGCATCCTGGCATATTCTCTTTAGCAAGTGCTTATTCTGTCTCCTCTAACTCCCATTTTGGCCCAGCCATCCTCTCTGGGAAAGCCTGTGTTTGGGATTGCTCTGCAGAGCCAAATCAGCTTTTTTCTTGCAGGGGGAGGTTTCTTGTCACTCCTCCCTGGGGAGGCTGTGGGCTTCAGCCTGTGTCACAGGGCATTAGCTAGTGGAGCAGGACCGTCCCATGAGCAAATAGCAGAGACAGACCCTCCACGGACCTTGCCAGGCTGATCCACTATAGCCTTCTTATTACCTGGGTGCCGCCCTCATCTAACTGGAGGTGTCGGAGGTGAAGAAGAGCAATGGTAAATGACTCAAACACGTTCAATAAGGCTCCTGCTGTGTGTTTTCTCTTCTTTTCTGTACATTGCCTATCAGACGAGTCCTTCCCAACAACACAAAGGAGAAAAGGCATTTTATCAGCAGTCTGAGTTTAATTTCAGCTCATTAAAGCAAGCAATTTGCTGGTTTATTTGCTTTGCAAAGTGTGAATAAAATGACAGCATTAAGGAGATGTAAGAGAGGAAAGAGGGGCTAATCTCCCTTTTTATTAGATTGCCAGGACATGACTGGGGAGTGGAGAAGTGGGTCCTGTTGCTTTGCACGGAAGTGATAATTGTTCATCTTGTTGGCTTCTGAAAGCCTCCTTCCCACCATCGCGCCGACGCGGGTGCGTGTGGGCGTGTGCCTGCGTGTGTGCGCTGTGACATCAGCCAAGCGCCGAGCATCCCGCGAGGCAGGACGGGAGCCGGGGCACTCGCAGTGGTTCCCAACTCACCTCCCTGTAACAGCAGATAACAGACATCCAGGAGGTTTCTCCTTCCCTTTTCTACCTTCTACCTCCCCTTCAATCTCCCTTTTCTGTTCGTTTCTGCTTCTGAAATCCTGGGCTTGATCCTTGCAGGTTAGGAAAAGAGCAGCCAGTTGGCCAAGGAGCCTTTGCTGTCTCTGACCTCCTGCAGCTGGGACATGGCTCTGGAGAGCAGGGGAGAGACCCCCCTGCCTCTTTCCCACAGACTGGATAAGAAAAGCTAGTGATTTAACCCTCCGGACTGACTGACTTGTCTTTGCCCAGCTGTTCTGGTTTTATTCTCCTGGTAACCCAGTTGCACACCACTTTTCCCAATCCTCTGACCCTCCACAGAGCTGCCTGGGAAAACCTGGGAACAAACCACCTACAACTCTAATGTGAAAAACAACCAGGAAAGTGGAGATTTGGGGTTCTGAAAGAAGCAAAAGAGAGGAATGAAGACGGGGTGGAATAACAATAGCAATGATTTGAAATGATGAATTTAATCTCAATCAGAGATATCTTGAACTGTGGCACCATGCTGACGATGACAACGTCCCTGGGGAGGCCATGGTACCCGCCCAGTACCTTGCAGGAAATATCATTCCTGCACAGAGTTACCTGTGCACTGCAGACACTGCTGTATTTCCCTTTCCGTCTGCTTTCACAAGGCAGCATGGTTTGACCAGCTGAGATGTTGGGCTTATGTGGCTTACAGA